TGGATTTCTGGAAGTGGCAGGCACACTTTAAACTACCAGCATTAGTAAGGGGTTCTATGCCAAGCTGCTATGTCAGATTGGGGTCAAACATCCAGAGCTTCAAAATGTGGTGGCACATCCATTTAGGTGTCTACAAGATAGAGCAGCCCTTGAGGATTAGCAATAGAAAATCAGCCCCATTATTATATATTTTTTTTAATGGTACAAACATTATGTGCTTGGGAACCAATTGCAGAACTGCATCTTTTTTCTTTTTTTTTACTAACACTTTATCTTTTTATCAATCCATTTATTTATGTGCACTTATATTTTTAGTTAGATGCCATTCTCTGCAGACTTAAACTTGCATTAAAATCTGAAGCACTCTATAAAATGAGGTACTATCTGTGTTACATGGTCTGTAAAAATGGTGTCAAGTAAAGAAAAAGGATCTGGTGTTGACAGCCTAAATAGCAAGTCTGGGCAACAACTGCCTTCATTAAGATACTACTGCCATCTTTCAAATGATGTAGCTATGCTAAAGTTAGCAGGTTTTCCATATTCTGACTTTTGTGTAATCTACTATATCCATAAGAATACAGTAGAGGGCATTAGGGGTTGTATCTGGCTGGCGTTTTATTTTACATCAGACATTTTGTATGTGGGAGGCATCAAAGAGTTTACAGTGTGTTTTCTGGGCATCACAAACTGACATGTTCCAAGAACACCAGATTACTGACAAAGGTGGTGAATTGGAGTAGCACAGTACTGCTTTTGTAAGGATTATAAAAACAGAGCAGCCAGGATGTACTCTCTGTATGCATATGAGGGTTTAATTTTAAATCTTTTTAATTATATTGGGACTCACTAAGAAAAGCCCATTTGAAACACATATAATCTGATAAAATCTAATCTTTGTAATGTTTACTTTCAAAAGATGAAACACCACACTAAGATTTTAGTGTCCAAAAAGTGGTAGTTGAGTGAGTCAGTCAACATTAAGTGGCTTCAAACATGCTTGGGACAAACATAGATATAAACTCAAACAAGTTAACAAAAATAAAAAACATGTATATATAAAAAAGGGCAGATTCAATGGATCACTTGGTGGTCTTTTTTTTGCCATCTCTTTTCTATGTTTCTATTCTTTTTTATTCCACGTATACTGTATATTAAGTGCAAAATCCAATGCATATTGGGGGCCATATAACTCCTTCATCAGGGCTAAACATAATATAAAAATCTATTTAAACTAGATTAATAAGATTCAAAAAGTCTTAATCATACATATTAAAAAAATCTAATCCTAGCATATACACTTGAATATAGATGTTCCCTTGCACAAAGGGAAAAATACATAAGATAGATTTACAATAAGGCTATTTCATAATTAATCTGTGAATTTAAATAATGATGAGCATGTGTACACATGTGTGCATAAGAGAACATGTTTCAAAAAGGGAAACTATATGCATACAGCTGACATAAAAAAACAAAATTAAAAATAATCATGAAAAGTTTATTAACATTATACAATTTTAGATCACCTCTAATTATAAGGTTGATATATGCCATGATTTATAGTTTAAAAGGTAAAGAAAAAATAAATTTGTACTTGTATATCACCATACTATCTTTTTTAAAGGTAAATATTTCATAGATTGTCTGCCTCGATGCCACCTTATTGGTCTTGGCCAGTAATCATTCTATATTGGTCACCTCTGGCCTTTCAGTACACATATGAAAATCCGTGTAGTTATAGTAGGGAGCCCCTTGTATGTGCATACATATCTGGGCACTTAATAAAATATATAGCAAGCGCTCATCAACAATTTAAAGCAGCTGAACATTAAAGGAAAACGCATAAAAAGTCCCAAAATAAAAAGAATGCAGCGCTCTTAGAGAAAAGTAATGATAAACACAGTCCGGTGAAAAAACAGTGCTCCTTGATTCCCAGTGCAAATGGTAGAAATTCACACTAACCAGAAAGCGCATAAGTAATACGCATGTGTATATATATATCCTGAAGACTCCAGGTCTGGTCAGGGAAATAGCTGGGAAAGATGGAAATCCTACGCCCTCATGTGATGAAAAGGTGGTCCAGCAGGTCAGAGCAGTATCAATCTGGATAAGCCTCCACAGGAGCTGACACAGGGATTACTAGGGAAAATGATTGTATAACAGGCATAAGTAACCATAATCCAAACAGGGTTACAGGTAAATCAAAAAGGGGGGGGTATGAAGGCTAACGCGTTTCGAAGGGTGCTCCCTTCTTCATCAGAGCTGGGTTTGGCAGATAGAAACTTCAGTATGGCAGAGTTCCCATGGCAAGGAGATATTCAGCCACTGAGTGTCAGTATTACAGCAGTTCAGCCTGTTTAGCCTAAACAGGCTGAACTGCTGTAATACTGACACCGATGAATTATACCTTTTTTTTTTTAGGACAAATTGGACTTTTGTTTGGTGGTAAGTGGTAATGGATATCTCCTGATATTATTTTTCAAAGGAAAACTGGCATAAAATAGTAAAAAATTATATACAGTATTTTTAGAGGGAAGTCCAGGAGTTTCATTAGTTCTTGTGGTAGTAATGAGCCATGAAGTGGTAGCTGTTGCAAGGCATGTTGTGTCTGAAGGTATTTATAAAAATGCATTTAGATTTTTTATACCTTTCTAACATACACTGGCCCTGACCTTTGACCTTAACCTTGACCCTAACCCTAGCCCTAACTTAGATCAAACTATGATCTAGTTATTATGTATTTATTTATTTTATTTACTTACCTCATTTGTTTACACACTTTTCTTTTCTAGCAAGGAGAAAAACATACACTGCATCTTTTTCTCCATTCAAGATGAAAAATAAAAAACACAGAGGTGGGCTGTACAGTGACTGATCACTGTGTACAGCCAATAATAGGCCTGCTAGTTCCCTATCATTAGTAAGGGACCTGGGTCTCTCAGTGAGAGCTCGGTCTTTGTGATGCGCCCAGCACAAACACATGTATGCATATCTGCAGCCGCACAGATAAAGACCCACTTCCATTATTATTATTTATTATTATTATTACTATTATACTGGATTTATGTAACAGTTTGTGCTGCACTTTTCAACATAAGGGCAAATAGTACAATACAATTTAATACAGGAGGATTCAGAGGGCCCTGCTTGCTAGAGCTTACAATCCAGGAGGAAGGTACAAGAGATACAAGAGGTAATGACTGTGGGGGATGGGCTGATGAAGAAGATGCATGTAAAGTTGTTAGGTAGGTACAGGATAGGCCTCTCTGAACAGATAAGTTTCCAGTGATCGCCAAAAAATGGACAGAGTAGGAGATAGTTGGACACATTGGGGTAGGGAGTTCCAGAGGATGCGAGAGGCTCTGGAGAAGTCCTGGGAGGAAGTGACAAGGGAACTAGAGAGCAGGAGGTCTTGGGAGGAATGAAGAGAACGATTTAATTAATTTCAACGATCCGTGAGGCCACATCTACAGTATTTGTACAGTCAGTGGAACGGGTTGAAAGGATGATTTGTGAAAACAAATGCATGTATATGCTAAATTCAGAATCTAGTATGGTTTGCTGTGGAATGCATGCACCATCATTAAATTGTGATCCAGCTAAGCTGTGGCACATCCCAAAAAAAATTTGATTTTCTTAAACACATACGGATCACCCACAGTACATTTACTGCTGCAGGGCAGCCCCTGTGTGCAAAATCATGTATATATATGGTTTTCACGGGCTGACATGCGGGTGCCCCGATTTGATCCCCGAGGGATCAATCATCTGATTTAGGCCAGTTATGTCTAGCCCAAGTCAGATGATCGATCCCTGTCCTATCCTGTCCTCTGTTGACAGTTACATAGGAAGGGACGTGATGAAATCTTCTCTCTCTGGGCACATTCCGTCCCAGAGAGGGAAGAATCAACATAAACTGTGAGTAAAAGCACTACACAATTACAGTTAGAACACATTTAACCCCTTGATCGCCCCCCCAGTTAACCCCTTCACTGCCCTGTCACCAGTGTCATTGGTACAGTGTACAGATTTTTTGCTGATCACTGTATTAGTGTCACTGTTGACTTCAGATAGTGCTAGCGTGAGTTAGCGTCAGTTAGCATCCCTCCCAGATAGCTTCAGATTGCCTGTTTGTACACCAGTAAGCACATTTAACTCCTTGATTGCCAGAAACACGCTCACATATACAATAATCCTCCATTGATAATATAGTGTCTAAACAGATCAATATCTTTGATCAGATCAGCACTATACCAGCGTTCACATTAGTATAGCGTCCTCAAAAATGCAGCTTTAGCAGGATCAGCCCGACACCTGCATTTAGCCACTGCGCTTACCCCCCCCCCCCCCCCCCATCTCCCCCAGCAAGTGCGGTGTCAGTAGGTCACTGTCACTTGATACATTGCACACAAAACAGTAGTGTTTGCAGAATCAAAAAATAAAAAGCGCACAGGTGATCAAATACCACCAAAAGAAAGCTCTATTTTTGTGAAAAAAAAGGACATAAATTTCATTTATGTACAGCATTGCATGACTGCGCAATTGTCAGTTAAACTAGTGCAGCACTGTATAGCAAACAATGGCGTAAATTGCAGTATCTATACCATAGTTTGTAGATGCTATAACTTTCACACAAAGCAATCAATATACACTTATTGGAATTTTTTTTAGCAAAAACATCTAGCAGAATAAATTTTGGCCTAAATTTATGACTAACTTTTTTATAGCCGAAAGTAAAAAATATTGTATTTTTTCCAAATTTTTGGTCTTTTTTTGTTTGTAGTGCAAAAAAAAAAAAGTGCACAGGTGATCAAATACCACCGAAAGAAAACTCTATTTTTGTGAAAAAAGGACGTAAATTTTATTTGGGTACAGCAAAGTATAACCGTGCAATTACCAGTTGACAGTGCAGCGCTGAATAGCAAAAAGAATAACAAAAAAAAGCCTAGTCATTAAGGAGTGTAAATCTTCAGGATGGCAAGTGGTTAATGTATTTGGATGGGTCAAGCGGTATTTAATCTTTTAACCACCTCCTGCCCGCCATATAGTAATATGACGGACGCAAGGTGGTTCTCTCACTCTGGGAGGATGATGTCATCATATGATGTCCTCCCATTCTCACCGCGCATGCGCGGCTCAGGGAGCGCACAGCGTGGCGATCGGCGGTGCGCTGTGTCCCTCGGACACAGCGGATCACCGATTCATGGAAAGAGCCGAAGATGTCTGCTCGGTTATGTGATCAGCTGTGTCCAATCACAGCTGATCACATGCAAACAGGGAAATGCCAGTTATCGTGACAGCTTGAGAGGAGAGGAGATCCGGTAACCGGCATTCCGCGGAGGGGACATGTACACTGATCATCAGGGTACTGATGATCAGTGTGCCCTGATGATCAGTGTAGCCCCAGCAGTGCCACCTGTCAGTGTCCATCAGTGCCTTGTGTCAGTGCTCATCCATGCCACCTGCCAGTGCCCATCAGTGCCACATCAATGCCACATATCAGTGCCCATCTGAGCTGCCTTTCAGTGTCACCCATCAATGCCAATCAGTGCCACCTATCAGTGCTGCCAATCAGTGCCACCAACCAGTGCCAGTCAGTGCCGCCTATCAGTGTGCATCAGTGTCACCTATCAGTACTGCCTAACAGTGCCAGTCAGTGCCACCTAACAGTGCCAGTCAGTGTCACCTAACAGTGCCATATATCAGTGCCGCCTATCAGTGCCCATCAGTGATGCCTGTCAATGCCCATCAGTGCCACCTACCAGTGTCTCCTCATCAGTGCCACCTATCAGTGCCCATCAGTGCAACCTCATTAGCGCACATCAGTGAAGGAGGAAAATCACTTATTTACAAAAGATAACATGGAAATAATGCACAAACACATAACAAATCAAACCTATAACAGCACCATTACAAGTAATGGAAAAACATAACACTTAAAGGATAACTTCACCTTTTGACCAAAAATAATAATTTACAGGTATAAAAATGTGCATTTACTATTTTTGGTTGGAGCAGCCTGTAAAGCATCACACCAGTGATCAGCAGATTGCTGATGCCATGCAGGTTTCCTGCAGATCTGTCAGTATATCCTAGTAGTATATGCTTGTCCTTATGGGATGTTCAGGCAAGCAGATATATTGACAAGAAGATTCAATAAACTCATTGAGAACTACAAGTCAACAGCCGCTAAAGCTGACAGGACTTGTAGATCATTTATTCACAGAACTCTGTGAATGAATGATGTGGTCATGTGGATGGAATGCAGTTTTAAAAAAGTGACAGCTAAAACAGGGAACTTCTCCCTGTGCTGCTGTCACAGGGGGGAGGGACAGAGGGAAGCAGCTGCAGCATTAGGAACATGTTACATGTTCTACCATAAATATGGGAGAAACATGTAACATGTTCCCAAAGGTGAACTTATCCTTTAAGTCTGGTACACACATTCACACATTCAGCCCTGCGGGCTGAACAAAAGAAAAAAAACTGAGATATCACTGTATTAACTCCCCCGCTGTGACTTTCTGTTCTGACAGGGGGACTCTCCCCCACCAGAACACACTAATCAGAACTCGCAGCCAATGGCTGTGAGCTTTGATCAGGCCCTGGTTTTCCAGCACTTACCTTCGACAAAAGCCAGTCCTTGGATGGGCTTCTGTTGGACACAGTCAGACCGTGTCTACCCAGCTTTACTATGTAGACAAAAATGACTACATCTAAAAGGTCAGAGAATAGAGCTGACCCAACAAGTGTGGATAGAGTACAAGGCCAATCAATGTGGGACAGTTAAAGTTGAAAGAAAAAGAAAAGAAAGAGAAAAATTAAAAAAAAAATTAAATAAAACTAAACAAAAAAACCCCTAAAAAAAAAAAAAGAGTAAAGGAAAAAGGAAACTTTTTTTGAGAGCGAAGGGACAGTAAGTGAAAAGCAATAGTATAGGAAACAAAGGGGGAAGGAAGAGAAAATTAAAAAAAGATAAAAAAAAAACACAAGCACAGCACCCAGAGGAAAATAGAATACAAAGACGATTGATTGATTCCACCTCAATGTGCTAAGAAGGGACCTTTCAATTCTTGAGAAAGTCTGAAGACCAAGGTGATAATGATCATAGGTGACCAGTTCATGTGTATTGAGAGCCTCCATACACTCAATATGGTCCATCACAGAAACCAATTCCAAAAGAGTTGGAGGCTGTGTCGATTTCCAGTGGTGCCTGATAACTGTGGGGGCCGCTGTTAACAAAATGCAGTAATATGTCTTTCTTAATATGTTTGAGAGTACCAGGAATAATAATGAGCAGTGCCATCTGGGGATAATTTGGTATATAAGCATCAATGATTTTCGTGTACACCTCCAAGATCGAGGTCCAGATCCTATGAGCAGGAGGGCAAGCCCATCAAAAGTTTATAGCTTATACAGTATTTATAAAATACATGTCTTGATACAATCCTGTCTCGGAGGTCTACAGACAATTCCTTGGACTTCATGGCTTGGTTTGTGCTCTGACATGCACTGTTAACTGTGGGACCTTATATAGACAGGTTTATGCCTTCCCTAATCATGTCCAATCAACTGAATTTCCCACAGGTGGACTCCAAGCAAGTTGTGGAAACATCTCAAGGATGATCAGTGGGAACAGGATGCACCAGACATCAATTTTGAGTGTCATGGCAAAGGCTGTGAATATTTATGTACATGTGGTTTTTTTCATTTTTTTATTTTTAATAAATTGCAAAGATTTCAAAACAAACTTCTTTCACGTTGTCATTGTGAGGTATTGTTTGTAGAATGGTGAGGAAAAAATGAAGTTAATACATTTTGGAATAAGGCTGTAACATAACAAAATGTGGCAAAAGTTAAGCGCTGTGAATACTTTCTGGATGCACTGTATATACTAGAATTTATTGGTCAGTCTGTAGACAGCACAGGAAGCCACAGAAGTCTAATGAGATCTAAGAACTAGGGATGGGAGCTGTGGGGTTGTAATTAAAATGTGCATATATACTTTTAGTTGTAATTTAAATAATAGGTATTTATTGTGTGGTGGTTTATGTAAGGATTTCTTCTATTTATGAAGGGCGGTGTCCCTTTCCCTTAGATGGAATGTTACAGTGCCTCCAGCCGTCAAAATACGGCAAATATTTAGTAAACCAATAATTTGGACACCTTGATAATTCGATCACCACTTATTATTAGACCTTGAATTCTTTTAGCCAGTATGATTTCGTACCATACACACAAAATTTGCCTTATGATAGATAAATATAAAAATTTATTTATGTACAAAAATTATATATATATTAACACAAAACGCAAAAGACTGGTGATGAATGAATACTGGTACACACGATCAAAGATATACCCTACCAATATCATACACAATATAATGTTTCTAAATAATGAAAATCAATATAACAAATTTTTTTAGATGATGATGATGATTAAAAATTAAATCTAGTAATAACTAATAATTTTAGAGTATTTCAGAGGTTATTTTCTCTCATCACGTGGCCATAGCAATGGAAGAAGATATTCCCTGATAAATTATACTCTAATTACTAATATTTCATAATTTATGAAATATGAAAAATTTGTAATATGACACCAACAATATCTAACAGTAATACGGGATCTCTCTATATATATATAACCACCCAATACAGTTGTTATCACTCTAAGGTAATTCTTATTACTCTACACAACAGAGAAAATATGCAATGCAAAATTAAATGGACAGTCTCACCACACCCGGAATTCAGACTATGACACTTTCCCAGTGGATTCAGCTGGCAATGGAACACCTTCAGGGATGACCACAGGGGGAAGTGAGATATAGTTCAATAGTGTAGGAGAATGTAGGAAGTTAGAGGTACAGAGATTTAGAACTTTAGTAAAGTTTTTAGAAGTTTGAAAAGAGTTAATCAGTAGTTCTTCAGATGGATTTCAGCCTCGTTAGATTTCCTTCAGCTTGTCTCTCTTTGCTGTTTTTCAGTGAGGTTCTTCAGTGAGCTTTTTAATGAGTTTTTTCCAATGAGTTTTTTTTTTCTAAATGAGGTGCATGGGTTTTTTATACCATCTAAACTATTGTTCTAAGAGACCCTCCCACCAGGCTTTTTGATTGGCTGGTTGAGAAATGTATGTACTTAAGCTATCTCTCACCTGTCCACTAAGTGGCAGTCAGAGCTCATAGAACAATTTGAGTATTTATGATGACTCACACCTCGGGTGGAACTCAAGGTGATTTCAGGTATTAAATATACGTCTTATCCAGATATATATAGGTGATCATAGCTATAATGTTCTAAATAGGAACCATGGAATATCTGTGTATATTCAGTTATTCATCTCTCTGAGATACAAACTTGTGTGAAAGCATTTGTTTCCTGATAAGACATACAACTGATGCTAATTCACAATATATCTTACTTTTCCTCATCTCAATACTCAAGTTAGTGATATACAATCCCCATTCTGCTGAATATTTTGTGGTGTGTGAAACATACTCTTTATAACATCCCATTGATAATATGCTTTTTGGTAATATCTCTGTGGGTAGAGATATCCAGTTCTTAGCCTGATATGTCCTAAATTTAACCTTTTTGTTTTAGAACCAAAATTCCCATGAGGAGGAAAGACCCTCTGTTTACCTGTCCATTGTGTTGGAGTCAGGGGAAACAACCATTTATACTTTTAACCTTAGTGGATAATAGTATATTGTGACAGTTCGAGAAGTTTGTTGGTTCATCACACTCTACAAGATTTTGGGTAAACCTTCAACCAGTTAAGTTTCCGTCTCATCATTGTCTTTTGGTTATGTGTGATGACTCAATGTTTGAAGGTCTAAGTCCTATTTGACGGTCTGTTTAACTTTTGTATATGCATTCAACTCAACCCCAATATATAAACAGTATTTGTTGACATATCCCATTTTAACTAGTCTCATAGTCTCCACTTAAAACTCCTCAAAATCCTAGTCTCATACCACCTGTGGATAGACAAACAGTCTATTGTCTCTGGGAAAAGATCCCTTCACCCATTATTTGCATTTCTTAACTGGAGAGTCCTTTGAATTTTCAACCAAGACAAGTTAACCCTTAACAGATGGCTAGGCTGGTTTGCTGTCAGAATAAAGTTATGTTTTGATAAATAATTTCAAAAGTCACTACAAATGTGAATAAATATATTTAGCCCTCTTTTTGTAACTTATATAGCAACCATGTAACACTCCAATGCATGTTATGAGCTATTTTTGGGCTAGTTTATGTTCTTTATTATTTTATTCCAGTCTTGTATCCCAGTTTTGTTTACTGTATGTATTGTATATACTGTGCATATATACATACAGTAGTTTGTATTTTATTATTGTAATTTTCTAATATGTAATAGTGATTAGTTTCAATATGTAAGAACGTTAAGTAAACTATATGTTAATTTCCTCATTCTTTTTCCCTCTATACTTGACAATTCTGTTTAAATAATTGTTAAACACAGTATTAAATAAATACCATCAAATTAAAATTCAGTCTCCACCAAGTCCTGATCCATGGTGTGGGTAAGTCAGCAGGGTATGCTGACAAAAAAAAGTAATTATCTTTCATCTCCCAAATGTAACATTAATGTTATTTAATGACTTCTACAGGGGCATTTTTAAACATTTTTTGCACATGTTAACATCTGCATTTTTTTATAGAAATTACTTTAACCGCTTGCCTACGGGGCACTTATACCCCCTTCCTGCCCAGGCCAATTTCCAGCTCTCAGCGCTGTCACACTTTGAATGCCTGGCACTGTTAGGTGGCACTGATTGGCACTGTTAGGTGGCACTTACTAGCACTGATAGGCGGCACTGAATGGCACTGATAGGTGTCACTGATGTGCACTGATAGGTGGCACTGACAGGTGGCACTGACTGGCACTGTTAGGTGCACTGATTGGCACTGTTAGGTGGCGCTGACTTGCACTGATAGGTGGCACTGACTGGCACTGATAGGCGGCACTGATGCGCACTGATAGGCTGCACTGACTGGCACTGATAGGTGGCACTGATTGGCAGCACTAATAGGTGGCACTGATTGGCATTGATAGGTGGCATTGACTGCACTGATGAGTGACACTGAAGGGCAGCTCAGATGGGCACTGATATGTGGCATTGATGTACACTGGTAGGCACTGATATGTGGCATTGATGTGGCACTGATGGGCACTGGCATGTGGCACTGTTCAGCACTGATAGCTGGCACTGATGGACACTGACAGGTGGCACTTCTGGGGCCACACTGATCATCAAGGCACACTGATCATCAGTGCCCCGATGATCAGTGTACATGTCCCCTCCGCAGAATGTCGATTACCGGCTCTCCTCTCCTCTCGAGCTGTCAGTGTGACAGCTCAAGAGGAGAGAAATGCCGATAACCGGCATTTCCATGTTTACATGTGATCAGCTGTGATTGGACACAGCTGATCACATGACCGAGCTGACGTCTTCGACTCTTTCCGTGGATCGGTGATCCTCTGTGTCCGAGGGACACAGAGCACTGCCGATCGCCGTGCTGCGCGCTCTCTGAGCTGCGCATGAGCGGTGAGAATGGAAGGACGTCAAAAGACGGACTATCAGAACGAGAGAACCACCTTGCACCCGTCATTGGACTATATGGCGGGCAGGAGGTGGTTTAAAAACCCAAACAATTATATACTTTCTGTAAGCAGAGGACATGTAGAATAAAATTATGGCAGTTGCAATTTTTTGTCACACAATATTTGCCAAACTGTTTATCACACATTCGAGGAAAAAAAATAAACCAAAATGAATTTTAGTGCAAACATGCACAATATAATACTTAATTTTTGTAATAAAATAATTCATTGTTGTTGAATAAATAGATACCAAACAGGTCAAGCCTTAAATTCGCAAGTGTCAGTGAAATCGCAAAAAACTATGGTTTAAAAAATAATTAGGACCCTAGATTTTTTGCTATCACTCTGATGTTCATAAAGATACCTCACATGTGTGGTACAAGATATGTTTACATACACGTATGCGCCCTAAGTATACAGGGCAGTAAGGGTGCTTTAAATTTATTTTTGTATTTTTATTTGTTTTTTTACACTCCTTTTCATTTAAAGTTCAACCACAGGAAAAAATGCATTTAAATTGTGCATTGTACATCAGTTACCATATTCCTCAGTCTTGATTTCAAATACTACTTCCTAAGCCATCATGTGGTGTAATGGATCAAAGTCAGAGTTTCCTCTATGATAGCCTGCCCTGGGGACCAGACATTTTTCCCTGCACATTATCTTTTTGGGCACTAGTACCCTTTACTGCCCCATGAGTTTTCCTTCCTCTGGAGCCTATGTGAGAGAACCCAGCCACTGAAAGTGTTGTCTTCACCAATAGGTGTGCACATCAAGCAGGAAGTGACACGGACAAGAAGAAAGCCCCCTTGGAATTAAACAGAATAAGCGCTAAGTCATTATGTAACTGTTGCTTCAGTTAAGTTAAATGGATATTTGTATAGGTTTTTTTATATTAGTAATATATTTAATATGCGCCGCGCTCCACCAACTAAACCTATCCGTAAAATAAAAATAAAATAAAATGGGAATAAGATAACAACATATGATTATGTGTGAGATAATATAATATACCTCCTACAACAATCTTAAAATGTGCTGAAAACTAATAAAAAATGGATGTGCTGAAATTTCATATGGTTCAAAAAACTTCATATACTGTATAATCATATGTTGTTATCTTATTCCCATTTTCTTTTCTTTTTATTTTACGGATAGGTTTAGTTTGTGGAGCGCGGCGCATATTAAATATATTACTAATCAATTTTGCACAGTTTTATGGGTATGTGTATTAGTGTTGATGCACCACCACAATAGTTGTTAATTTAAATATTTTATTTATTTATTTTCCACTTAGTAGCTCACAAGTAAAAAACTTATATATTTTTTTTTTATATTGATTTTTTTGGGGGGGTGATGGTGGGGGTAGTAGAGAGGGGTAGGTGGCACTCGGATAATATCCTGGAGTTGGGTTTTAACTTTACTGAATTCACAAGGGGGATAGCAAGCGCTCTATGTTACAACATGGGCAGGTGACAGGTTTTCTTTATGGGAACATCAGGGGTCTCCTCTGACCACCAGCACAAAAAATGAAGCACAAATCTTGCTTGATTAGTTGTTTATCCAGCTGCAGTAGTTACAGAGGAGATCAGGGAATGAATGTTCCCCGAGCTCTTCCTCTTTTAATATTTAGAGCAGTGTAGTATGGTCCAAGGCTCCCCACAAAAATGGGAGAGCCCAGGAACCACCATGGGCGCCAACCAAGGGGGTTGGCGCCTTTGGAGCCCTGTAAAAGTGATCAGGTGACTCTAGTGCTACATGTATCACTTTTAGCTACAAGCAGAGTATTGCCTATAAAAATCAATACCAAATACGAGCTTGTCTTAACCCACTGAATACCAAGACATTTATAAATGTACCTTGGTAGAAAAGGTGTTCAGCTAGGGATTTAATTGTTTGTCCATGTCAGGCTGTCACTTTCCAGCAGGGTATCCCATAGAAAGTATGTATTACATAGGTAGGTTAACAAAAGACCTTTTTACATCAGAAATAAAATCTTGAACTTGCAGTTAATGCAGAGGAAGAAAAAAAAACTTATACACTTTCCTACAGACCAATAATCCTGTCTGGTTTCTAAAAAAAAATATTAGTATCCATTGTATCTATCTTAAAGGGGAACTATCTGCAAAATAAAAATAGCATATATGATGCAGTCTGTCAAGAGCATTAACACAGCAGCCTATGTTATAGTCCCTCTGTAACATCGTTTTATTAACTGTTGATCTTGCTGGTAAAACAGTTCTTTTTTAACTTCCTTTAATAGACCAAATTGTCCATCAAATGTAACAATTAAGCCTGCCATAGATGGTTTGAATCTTGGCTGGTTCAGCATGGATTGGCCGAGATTTGAGCCATCTATTGGCAGACTGATTGTATCCAATTTGATTGTTGTATGACTTGGGTATAACACTCCTGTTGGATTTTTCAAGCGATTATTGCCAGCGGCTACAGTGCCTAGCAATAATCACTGTGTTCTCTGTACAGGGATATCCCCCCCCATTCCCCCCTTCTTAAGAACACAATAGAGTGGAATGGCCTTGGCCAAAGCATCCCCTGGGAGCAGGAATTCAACAAAAGCAGCCTTATCAAGGTCATGAGAGAAATGTTGCAGCTGTAGATCAAATTTGATGTTAACTTAGTTAATGAAGCATGGCTGGAAAAGTGAGACAGTAGTGGCAAGTGGGCACTGGGAGCTAGGAAGGAGGTGGCTGAGATAATGTCAGCTGTTCAGGTACTGCAGAAAGAGAGGCCTAGATTTGATTCAGGCAATTGGTAACAAAGTGGAGGTGACACACCATCTGGACTTGAATGACAGAAATGTTTTGGAAGAGACACTCTTTTGGATCTGCTGTTTGCTGTGGAGACTCAGACATGGAGTTTAGAGCAAACTGCAACCAGCTGGAGTTCCTTCCCACAAGGGGGCAGACTAGCCATCAAAAAAAGTAATAGCAACTTGATCTAGGTAGTGACATCAGCCACAGAGGTGGCACAGAAAACTGAGAGAAGTCTTAGAAGAATTAGGACACCCACTGACACTGGAGAGTGAGCCCAGAGTACCCACCCATACAGTGATGGTGAGAGCCCTTATAAAGGCCAAGGCACAGAATCTAAGGAACAATCTTATCCTCACCAGAACTCCTGAAGGGGGAGTTTTTTTGCAGATGATTCCCAGATTGTGGCCCTCTGACTCACCTGAGTGGCAGATATTAAGAACTGAAATCAGTGGTAGAGGAATGTAAACAGTAGGTGAAACATGCAAATTGCCAAAACAACAACCCACCATTAATTAAAATATGAAATATTGAAACAAATGAGGTTCCAACAGGTTATATATATTTTTCTCCATAGAGCATAATGATTTACATCTTGTATAGGGGAGCTTGAGTTTCTTACATGAGGTAGTTGTACTACCTGAAACTCAAATGAAGGGTCTTTCCATCTGGTGAGGATCCCATGAGAAAACATCTTATACTTCAAAGGTTTGGTGTTGAGTTTTTCCTCTTAATGGGGGCCCCCACCTGGTTACACCTGAGCGATAGCTACAATATCGGGAAATGAGTTGCAGACCACACCAAACCTCATTGCCAGACACTTCAACTTTATTGCAAAAACATAAGCGTATATATAAATCTGTAGTCTCTAGGCAGATTATTAATGACCAACCTTTAATATTAACCAATCAAATTCATGCATTTTATCCTTAATTCTGCACCTTAGTTGTCATCAAACTTTGCAGAACTTTGCAGAACTTTGTCTGGCCAGATGGTTGTGGTCAGACTAACTCATGATTTTGGCACAACGCCCAGATTACGGGTCTTTTACTTCCTCAAAAACTTGCCAACACAGTTATTTCCTAATAAACATATTTTTTCATTTAGGGTGTATAAAGATAGCAGACTATAAAGCAAGCATATTATAAAACAAAATGGAGTTGATCATGTCAACCTTTCAATACTCAGTTGAGTGACTTTGATTGAATAATGGGACATTTACTTGAGCACTGTTTTTTTCTTTATATTATAAATCTTACTACCTGAATATCCACAAATTGCACAGATAAATCAAGAAACTGAATGTTATTTATTGTAAATTTTACATTATAAAGACTCTTTCAGGGGAAAAAAAAAACGGTTGCAGATATAGAGTTCTGGCACTTTGAGGTACCTGAATATACTGTACCTGCAGCAGCTTCTAAAAGCCTGCAGCCATGGCAAAATAATAATGGGCCCTTCTGACAGACATAACCTTGTCATTTTCTAACAGTGTTGTAGTTTGGAAAACCTTCCTTTCTCCTAAAAATTCCTTTTAGAGAGGAAGTCATTTGTAGTGATGGACAAGTAAGAGTGTTTTAGGGTGAGAGATAGTGGCAAGCTTCAACAATACTCAGAAATGTTGCATCTTTGCCTGTAAGAATGGCCCACTATTCATTCATAACTGCAGGCTTTTGGTGTCTGTTGCGGTTGTGTGCAGGCACCTGTAGTTGTCTGTAGTAATTTATATTTTTCCCTGACAAATTCCATAAATAGAAAAGGTATACTTAATAACTCTTATGTTGTTTCTTAGAATTTAGTAAGTAAAATTCGAAGAAGCTTGCAGTGCTAAAATTCTCATTTTGATTGACTGGATAA